TGAAGCAACTACCTGTTTACATTATGTGATTGAAACTTTAACCTTTAACTGAAGTATCTACACCAGCGGCTCCGAAACCTTGTAGGCAACACACCCCCTTCTACATCTTGACCAGGTTACTAAACCCAAATCCCCTCTCTCTCTAGGTTTTCTTATATATATCTATATCTATATATCTATATATAGATATATATATCTAATATAGATATATATATATATACAGTATCTCACAAAAGTGAGTACACCCCTCGCATTATTTAAAATATTTGTAAGAGTAGTGAGTGTACAGTATAACAGTGTAAATTTGCTGTCCCCTCAAAATAACACATCACACAGCCATTACTGTCTAAACCGCTGGCAACAAAAGTGAGTACACCCGTAAGTGAAAATGTCCAAATTGGGCCCAATTAGCCATTTTCCCTCCCCAGTGTCATGTGACTCGTTAGTGTTACAAGGTCTCGTGTGAACGGGGAGCAGGTGTGTAAAATTTGGTGTTATTGCTCTCACACTCCCTCATACTGGTCACTGGAAGTTCAACATGGTACCCCATGGCAAAGAACTCTCTGAGGATCAACAGGTTCCACTCAGAACAGGCCTCGCCATGGTCAACCAAAGACGTTGAGTGCACATGCTCAGCGTCATATCCAGAGGTTGTCTTTGGGAAAAAGACGTATGAGTGCTGCCAGCATTGCTGCAGAGGTTGAAGGGGTGGGGGGTCAGCCTGTCAGTGCTAAGCCCATACGCCACACACGGCATCAAACTGGTCTGCATGTCTGTCGTCTCAGAAGGAAGCCTTTTCTAAAGATGATGCACAAGAAAGCCCGAACAGTTTGCTGAAGATAAGCAGACTAAGGACATGGATTACTGGAACTATGTCCAGTGGTCTGAAGAGACCAAGACAAACTTATTTGGTTCGGATGGTGTCAAGCTTGTGTGGCAGCAAGCTGTGTCTTGCCTACAGTCAAGCATGGTGGTGGGAGTGTCATGGTCTGGGGTTGCATGAGTGCTGCTGGCACTGGGGAGGTACACTTCATTGAGGAAACCATGAATGCCAACATGTACTGTGACATACTGAAGTGGAGCATGATCTAGGTCTCCAGACCTAAACCCTATTGAGCATCTGTGGGGCATCCTCAAATGGAAGGTGGAGGAGCGCAAGGTCTCTAACATCCACCAGCTCCGTGATGTCGTCATGGAGGAGTGGAAGAGGACTCCAGTGGCAACCTGTGAAGCTCTGGTGAACTCCATGCCCAAGAGGGTTAAGGCAGTGCTGGAAAATAATGGTGGACTTAAAATATTGACACTTCAGGCCCAATTTGGACATTTTCACTTAGGGGTGTACTCACTTTTGTTGCCAGCGGTTTAGACATTAATGGCTATCTGATGTGTTATTTTGTGGGGACAGCAAATTTACACTGTTATAAAAGCTGTGCACTCACTACTTGTGTGTACTCACTTTTGTGAGATACTGTATATTGCTATCTGATTGGTTACCCGTCACGAGCAGTGGAGCTGTGTGTTAAAGAGATGGCAGCCTATATTGAAGGTGCAATAAACATCAAAATTTGATGATTCGTTGATGTGTGTTGTGTCGTTCAAGGAATGTTTCGTTCATTTGACCTAATCTTGTATATGACTCAGAAGGAACGAGTAGTCTGAGGGAGTAATTCATTCATTTTCACGCATGCATAAATAGTCTTGGACTCTTACGTTCACTCATCACACGGCAGCTGCATGGGCTCCGTCAGCACAGAAAGAGGTATTGATTAGTTCACGACTCTCAACTGAGGGTCTCTAGGATTTAGTCGTTCATTTGTCACGTGACTGCTCTTGTGGAACAGGAATGAACTAATCGTTTATCACTCACATGGGTCCTCCTCAGTCTTTCGTTCATTTAGCAGGCTGAGTTACTGCCAGCGCCAGAGAATGAAAGGCAAGTCGGTTGTCAGGTAACAGTCACTGGAATGACATTTTATATATCTATTTTGTTAGTTATGTTATATTTAATAAAGCATAACGTTATTACAGCGCAGTGAAATTGTGCTATAGTTTTAGCACAGCTATACCGTAACTTTAGTCCTGCTAGTGTTTACAGCTAACAGCTGATGAAAGTTGTTCTGGGTCCGCTCCACTTCAGTTCCCTGACGGAGGTTCTACCAGGCGCCGAATTACCTCCGAGGTAGTCTCCTCTCCAAAACAAACAAGCTGGTCATTTAAACATTAAAACACAGCCACATAGCAACATTAGCGTTAGCTCTGTGGTGTGTTTACAGCTAACAGATCCGGGTCCACCAGAGAACGCAACAAAACTTTTCCTTTTTATTTATCAACAGAACCATGCTGTTGTTACACAGCCCTTGACTGTTGAACAACCTGGCAGTGTTTGAGAGCGATGTGCGCATGTTTGTTTCTCTCTGTCTGCAGAATCCGGACCTGATGTGGCCCATTATGCGTCCAGACCTGCCGAACCTGCTATGTTTATTTCTTTGTTCCTCTCTCTGTGCTGGAGTTCTTTTGAGAACTTGGTGACTTTATCCAGATTATTATTAAATTGGTTGAAATTTATTAAGTGTGTTTTATTCAAGCTTATTAAGCCTTGAATATACTAAGGAGCGGATGCGGACACGGACAGCTGCGGACTGCTTCTGTTTATACTACTTTCTGCAGTCAGCTTGGTGAACACATTCTACACATGTGCAGTAGATCGGTTGGTGCTCTGGTAGTGCTAGTTGGTGCACAGACCATGAGGCACGTGGACATCTGCACAGATGCTAGGTGTACCCCCTCTGATGACGATTTTTTCGTCACGCAGACCCTCGCGGACGCGGAAAGTATAATCCTTGCCTTACTTAAATATTTTCCCTGCAAATCTGATGTTAATATATAGATTTTACTCATGGATAGGGATGTTAGGCTACTGTATGAATGAACACGTTAGAGATATAATGATAGTAATTATAATTATATACATATATAGCTGGTCTGGTTGCATACTCAGGAAAGATTGTGAAAATGGACAGATTTAGCCGGAGTAGTGGCGACTGAATATTGACAACATATTTCTGTGGTTTTTACATGGTTTGAATTTGGTTGTGGCCCCATGGGGCTTTAGAGAAAGATCAAGAGGTGAATTTGTGCATTATACTTTGTCAATTAAAGCAAGTCAGGCAGCCTTCCGAGTCTGTTTTTTAATCGCCCACTAGAGGGCTGCAGCGCCGCAATAACCAGCCTAGTTCAAATGAACGAAATGACACAAAAAAAGATTAGTTCATTTTAATGAACGAGATTTGATGACTCGAGTCTGTCAAAAGAGTGACTTATATAGTGAGCAGGACTTATATTGACAGTGACAGTGCAAAATGATATACATGTTAAACTGTAAAAATATAATATACAATGTAACTAAGTGGATGTTTTGGTGTTAGAGTGTTTATTGACACTGGATGACTGATTTAAGTGTTTCAACCACCATCTGGCTCTAAAACATGCCGTCTACGATGCAGTGACCTGCTGTTGAATGCATCTAATACTACATGACTGTCTACAACTAGTACTTGCAACTTTGAGATTTACTATAAATACAACTTTTCGCATTTTAAAGAAGAGCTAGATAACTTTGTTTGGCAGGAAGCAGTGTTAGATTCTTGTTCAGTGCACGTTTACTTACATGTCCCCTCTGCTTTAATCATTTCCGACACGTTGACTGTAACTACAAACTAACGCCTTGCAGATATATTTTAGAATATGTTAAACGCTTTAGTTTAACTGTTCATTACAACGTTAGCTCCTCCACTGACAAACATGGCGTTAACTTTGTGGCTAATTTAGCAACGGGCAGTGTTAGCAGCTGAAAGTGATGTTAGAAAGAAGTGATGAACTGGAGAGTAATGATAGGACTGTTCGCTAGTACTGCCACACTGTTTCAGAAATAAATCTACAATCAAGTCTATCAACAGCGTAGTCTCCATGTGTTATATTAACATAATTAAGTAAATGTGTGTATTATGTCCTGCCCCCATGGTCTCTGCCCTCAGGATTAGTATCAGAAAGTATGCAAAGGGGATGACATAGCCCTGCATATGAAATTAAGTAACCTTGAAGAATGAAGAATAGACACAGTTGTGAAGGGAGGACTGCAGTCATGGGAGCTTTTCTTAACACATATTTCCTCTGGTGTGTGTATCATATCTTGTTGTTTTTCTCTTCCTCCTCTTTATTCTCTGCATCTTCCTCTCTTTTCTCATCTTGTAAATTACGGAGAAAGTTTAATCTTAATGAAATGCACAAGCCTGGTGATGTAGTTATGGGTGGGATGTTTGAGGTCCACTTCACCTCTGTCTTCCCAGAGCAGACATTTACCTCAGAGCCACAACAGCCCAGCTGCACAGGGTAAGTTTCAGCATGGATCTATGCTATTTATGCTGGATGTAATACCACTTTTCATGACAGCTTTAGTGATACAAAAATTGCATATAAAAAGTATATTATTGCAACTGTGTAATATGTTAATGGTTTAATTCTCATAGTGCCATATTTCTTTTAGTGGTTAATAGTGATATTTTGTGTGTTAGCTTTGACACTCTAGGATTCAGACAAACCATGACCATGGCCTTTGCTATAGATGAGATCAACAAGAACTCCAATCTGCTACCTAATGTGACTCTGGGATACAGTCTTTATGATAACTGTGGTGCACTTGTTATTGGATTCAGTGGTGCATTATCACTGGCAAGTGGTCGGGAGGAGCAGTTTCTTCTTCAGGAGAACTGCTTAGGGATCCCACCAGTCCTGGGGATTGTGGGTGATTCCTACTCTACATTTTCTATTGCCACCTCCAATGTACTAGGTTTATACAAAATGCCCATTGTAAGTTTCTCTATACTGTGTATGAATAATGTCATCTTTCAAAGTGATACATTGTTGAAATATGTAACTATTTTAACTGGGTCAGACATGCATGAGATGGTTAACTTGAATTTAAACTGTATGTTTCTCTATAGGTAAGTTACTTTTCCACATGTTCCTGCCTGAGTGACCGACAACGGTTTCCATCCTTCTTTAGAACAATCCCAAGTGATGCTTTCCAGGTGAATCACTATTACCAAGTTGACAACTGCAATTTTTCAGGCAGTACAACCAGCTTGTAAAAATTGTCCCTGGTGAAACAACTTTTATCTTTTTTCTTAATGGGATTATTAATTGAGATTCCTTTGTGAACATATGTATATAATATGATAAGATGTTATAACTGAAGTTAGTTGTATATGTAATTTTAAAAGAATGTACTTGTCTGTCCACTAATCCCTTCAGACCAATATATCCATTTAGGTGCGTGCTATTATTCAGATTCTAAAACACTTTGGCTGGACTTGGGTAGGCCTTCTGGTCAGTGATGATGACTATGGAAACCATGTTGCCCAATCCTTCCAATCTGACCTGGCTCAGTCTGGTGGAGGTTGTCTGGCCTACTTAGAGGTTTTGCCCTGGCACAGTGACCCAAATGAACTCAGGAGGATTGTGCATTTGATAAAGACATCAACAGCTCGTGTGGTCATGGTGTTTGCACATGAATTCCACATGATTCATCTAATGGATGAGGTTGGAATTAAAATATATTATTATTTAGAAATCCATGATTTTAAGAAACATAAGATGATGAAGTTGTAATTTTCATGATTCAATCAAACAAAATGATCTACAGCAGCAAATTTCAGGTCCAGCTGGCTCGTCATCAGGTCGAATTGTTTGATAACGTTAACTGTCTATGTGTCAAAGATTTCAACCTGTAAATGATTCAGCTGGATGATAACTGCTTGAAATATTTGAATACAATTGTGGGTTTCCATCAGTGTACAGGCACAAAATGACTGCTACCTAACAGTGAAAGGAACAATAAATTATTCTAATAAATCGATTATATTTCTTAGGGAAGCATACAAAAAAACGAAAGCCTATAAAAAGTAGTTGTGCATTTTGAAAGAGCTCAAAATCACTTTGTAGTAACTGTCCCTTTTTAAAATAGATTTTAATATACAGACCCTAGACAGAGGAATTGTTGTTGAAAAATCAATATATACAGTATAATGTAATGTACAGGTGGTGAGGCAAAATGTGACTGGCCAGCAGTGGATTGCAAGCGAAGCTTGGACAGCAGCTGCTGTGCTCCAGACACCACGCCTCATGCCGTACCTGAGCGGCACACTGGGCATTGCTATCCGTCGAGGAGAAATTCCAGGGTTCAGGGAATTCCTCTTACAAATACACCCTGACCATAATGGCAATGACAGCTATGGGAATAACATGGTAAGAGTTTAATCTTACAATGTGATCTACACTAGATAATAATAATAATAATAATATATTTCTGACAATCTTATACTGTATTTCAGGTGCGGCAGTTTTGGGAATCCACATTTCAGTGTATATTTGCACCACCTCCAGCAGGATGGGTGGAAGCTGGGGGAGCACTATGCACTGGACAGGAAGATCTAGAGAATGTGGAGACTGAGTTTTTTGATCTTTCTAACCTCAGGCCTGAGTACAATATTTACAAGGCAGTTTATGCTCTGGCACATGCCCTTGATGACATGCTGCAGTGTAAGCCAGGTAGAGGGCCTTTCAGTGGGCACAGCTGTGCCACTTTGCAAAGACTGGAGCCATGGCAGGTGTGATATCAGTTTACACTCCACCTGTTTATGTTTTGAAAACAGCTGCTACACCATGAGTATAATACTTAATGAATGCAGTTTGAGTAGAGAATATTATGAAAAATGTATGTGGGTATTTATTATATCTACAAACGTAAAACACGTCACACTAGAAATAGCCAGAAAAAAACCATTATGTTAAAAAAAAATTAATGACTGACTAATGCTATTAAACCAGTTAGAAAAAAACAACAGCCTGCATTTCAGGGTGTAAATACTTAGATAAAGATTTACAAAGATAGTCATTGTTTTGTTGCAAATCATCTGACAGTCTTTCAAACTTGTAAGACAACATTGAACTTAGAAAGATAAAAATGTCACAATCTTGTTGCAAGTTATTTAGCAATATAACCCTCTGGTTTGACAGCATCTTTAACACCAGTAATTTGTGTATTTTTGTCTTATCATTTGTAGCTTGTGCATTATTTGCAAAAGGTCAACTTCACAACAGCATTTGGTGATCAAGTGTCGTTTGATGAGAATGGTGATGCCTTACCAATCTATGATATCATTAACTGGCTGTGGCTCCATGATGGAAGAACTAAAGTTCAGAATGTGGGTGTGGTTAAGCGGTCGGCCTTCAAAGTTGAAGAACTCACAATTAATGAAGACAAAATCTTCTGGAACTTTGAATCGAACAAGGTTATTATTGCTTTTCAGACACAATCCCCTCTTTTGGACTATAAATCCTAGCAATAATATTCAATTCAATTCAATTTTATTTATATAGCACCAAATCACAACAACAGATATCTCACAGCGCTTTTCATAAAATAGCAGGTCGGAAGGGTGAAGGAGAGAGGGAGAGAGAGGGCAAGAGAGGAACAAAGAGAGAGAGGGATGGAAGGTGAGAGAGAGGGGAGGGAGGCAGCCTACACAATATACACACAGAGGTACAGACAGTAAAGGTGATGTTGCTAAAGACTAAATGAAAAATGGTACAGATATATACAGTAATGTTTATGATAATAATCGTAATGTTAATGATTATAATAACAATAGGACTAGTAACAATAATTGTAGCAGAGGGTGTCGAGCAGGAACACAGGGAAAGTCTTAAGCCTAGTCTTAAATGTGGAGATGGTGTCTGCCTCCTGAACCCAAACTGGAACCTGGTTCCACAGGAGAGGAGCTTGATAGCTGAACGCTCTGGCTCCCATTCTACTTTTGGAGACTCTAAGAACCACAAGTAACTCTGCATTCTGGGAGCGCAGTGCTCTGGTGGGGTAGTAAGGTACTATGAGCTCTTTAAGATAAGATGGTGCCTGACCATTAAGAGCTTTGTAGGTAAGAAAAATGATTTTAAATTCTATTCTGAATTTTACTGGAAGCCAATGCAGAGAAGCTAAAACAGGAGAAACGTGATCTCTTTTCCTGGTTCCTGTCAGAACACGTGCTGCTGCATTCTGAATCAGCTGAAGAGTCTTAATGGACTTTTTCGAGCAGCCTGATAATAAGGAATTGCAGTAATCCAGCCTAGAAGTAACAAATGCATGGACTACTTTTTCTGCATCATTTTTAGACAGTATGTTCCTGATTTTCGCAATATTACGTAGGTAAAAAAGGCGGTCCTTGAAATTTGCTTAATGTGAGACTTAAACGACATTTCCTGATCAAAGATAACTCCAAGATTCCTCACAGTGGTGCTGGAGGCCAGGGCGATGCCATCAAGGGAAACTATATCTTTAGATAATGCGTCACGGAGGTGCTTAGGCCCCAGAGCAATAACTTCAGTTTTATCTGAGTTTAACATGAGAAAATTACCGGTCATCCAGGTTTTAACATCCTGAAGGCACATTTGAAGTTTAGCTAACTGATTAGTTTCATCTGGCTTGATCAATAGATATAACTATCATCTGCATAACAATGAAAGTTTATGGAATATTTCCTGATAATATTGCCTAAAGGAAGCATATTTAAAGTGAACAGGATTGGTCCGAGGACAGATCCTTGTGGAACTCCATGACTAACTTTGGCATGCATGGAGGACTCATCGTTAGCATGAACAAACTGAAATCGATCTGATAAATAAGACTTAAACCAGCTTAGAGCGGTTCCTTTAATGCCATTGAAATGTTCCAGTCTGTGTAATAGGATCTGATGGTCAATGGTATCAAATGCAGCACTAAGATCTAATAAAACCAGTACATTAACTCCTTTATCTGTTGCAATTAGGAGGTCATTAGCAATTTTCACCAGTGCTGTCTCTGTGCTATGATGAACTCTAAATCCTGACTGAAAATCCTCAAATAAACTGTTGCTATGTAGAAAGTCACACAGCTGTTTAGCAACTGCTTTCTCCAGGACCTTAGAGAGAAATGGAACATTAGATATAGGTCTATAGTTGGCTAAAACATCTGGATCAAGTTTGGGCTTTTTCAGAAGAGGTTTAATTACAGCTACTTTAAAGTACTGTGGTACATAGCCTATTGATAAAGATAGATTGATCATATCTAGTATAGAAGTGCTGACTAGGGGTAAAACTTCTTTAAGCAGCCTGGTCGGGATGGGATCTAAGAGGCAGGTTGATGGTTTAGATGAAGAAATTATTGAAGTTAGATAGTAAAGATTGAGAGAAGCAAAACAGTCTAAACATATATCTGGTTTTACAGCTGTTCCTAAGGTTCCTGAGTTTAGAGATAAGTTGGTGTCAGTTGAGGGAAGGTCTTGGTGAATTTTGTTTCTAATAGTTAGAATTTTATCATTAAAGAAGCTCATGAAGTCGTAACTACTGAGAGCTATGGGAATACTTGGCTCAATAGAGCTGTGACTCTCTGTCAGCCTGGCTACAGTGCTGAAAAGAAACCTGGGGTTGTTCCTATTTTCCTATATTAATGACGAGTAGTACGCTGCTCTGGCATTACGGAGGGCCTTCCTATAAGTTTTAAGACTATCTTGCCAGATTAAACGAGAATTTTCCAGTTTGGTGGAACGCCAATTCCTCTCAAGTTTCCGCGATATTTGCTTTAATTTGCAAGCTTACTTGCTGTCTTTGTTTTAGTATTTTATTTTTTAGAGGTGCTACAGAGTCGAGTGTCATTCGCAGCGAGCCTGCAGCACTATCAACAAGATGATCAACTTGGGAGGGACTGAAATTAGAATAGGAGCCCTCCGTTACTTTGTGATCTGATAATGAATTTTAGAACAACAGATTTCTTTTCTCCCTATAGCCACCCCGGTCAGTGTGCAGTGAGAGCTGTCCTCCAGGTACCCGCATAGCCAGAAAGAAGGGGGAACCTGTGTGCTGCTTTGACTGCATCCCTTGTTCTGAGGGAAAGATCAGCAATAAGACTGGTGGGTGTTCATGTTGCAAAACGTTTTTCTCTTTATGGATAATATATACTGTACAGGAAGAATGTATCTCACCATCTTTCCCTTTTTGTCAGACTCCATGGAGTGCACCAGTTGTCCAGAGGAATTCTGGTCAAGCTCCCAGCGTGACCACTGTGTTCCTAAGAAAACAGAGTTCCTGTCCTACCATGAGCCTCTCGGTATCTGCTTGACAACTGCCTCACTGCTGGGCACATTAATCTGTCTTGTTGTCCTGGGCATCTTTACCTACCATCGCAGGACTCCCATGGTACGAGCCAACAATTCAGAACTGAGTTTCCTGCTCTTGGGGTCACTAAAACTATGTTTCCTTTGCTCACTGCTGTTTATCGGACATCCCAGGTTGTGGACATGCCAACTGAGACATGCAGCATTTGGGATCAGCTTTGTACTTTGCGTGTCATGTATTCTCGTGAAAACCATGGTGGTTCTGGCTGTGTTCAAGGCCTCCAAGCCAGGAGGTGGAGCAAGTCTGAAGTGGTTTGGTGCTATGCAGCAGAGAGGGACAGTTATGTTTCTTACTTTAATCCAGGCAGCGATCTGCACTGCCTGGCTTGTCTCTTCCTCACCAGCTCCTCATAAAAACACTCAATACCACAATGACAAGATAGTTTATGAGTGTGTTGTAGGGTCCACAGTTGGTTTTGCAGTGTTACTTGGTTACATTGGCCTCCTGGCTCTCCTTAGCTTCCTGTTAGCATTTCTGGCAAGAAATCTTCCAGACAACTTTAATGAAGCCAAACTTATCACTTTCAGCATGCTGATCTTCTGTGCTGTGTGGGTGGCCTTTGTCCCAGCTTATGTAAACTCTCCAGGCAAATATGCAGATGCTGTGGAGGTATTTGCCATCCTGGCCTCCAGTTTTGGTCTCTTGGTGGCATTGTTTGGACCGAAATGTTACATAATCCTAATGAGACCAGAGAGAAACACAAAGAAAGCTATCATGGGTCGAGGCACCACCAAGTGATAAAAGTAGCAGTAATAGTAAATTAGTTCAACTAGTGTGAACCAATATATATATATCACACACACACATATATATATATAAAAATAACAACAGTTGTGTCATAGCGCTTTTCATTTAAAGCAGGTCTAGACTGTAATCTTTGTGCTATTATTAACAGATAGAGACCCAACAATTCCCACCATGAGCAAGCACTTGGCCACACAGGCAAGGAAAAACTTCCTTTTAAGAGGCAGAAACCTTGAGTGGAACCATGACTCAGGGTGAGCGGCCATCTGCCTTGACTGGTTGGGGTTGAGAGAGAGAGAGCGAGAAAGAGGCAGAGAGGGCTACGGGGGTAGGGAGGAGCAGCCAACACAATATCCACACAGCAGTATAGACAGTAAAGGTAATAGTGGTACAGACTGAAAATTAATAATGGTACAGATATTTATAGTAATGTTAATGATAATAATAACAGTAGGGTTAGTTTCTGTCTGTGTTCCTGACCTCTGGATTATATATATATTTTACTGGATTACACTCAATGACTGAACAGCTCTGTCTTTTTCTCCTTTTTTATTCTTGCAGATTCAGTACTTAATTTTTATATTGAGTTACATAAGTGCAAATCATCATCAGTTATTTTACATTTGCCTTTAGCCATTAGGTGAAAAACCTTTAAATAAACAAAGAAAAGAAGCACATTGGTTGGTTCCATTCAATCTGCTTTCTAAATATTCAGTCTGTCAGTGAATGCTTAATATGGATTTATTTAATCTTGATCTATTTTCTCTCCCCTTGAGACCCGCGACATTTTAACTCTAGTTTGACTTAACAGTAAATTAACTTTTGTTTTCTTGACAAAGCGAAACAATTAACTTGTGATCTTTAGATAATGGGATTAAAAAAATAATTGCAAGCATTATAAGACTAGAAGATAGCTTAAATTGAGATACCATTGTATAAGCCAAGAACCATGAATATTTAGGCTGCAGTTTTTGCATTTGAAACAAACAGCAAAATACCATCTGATTATAATGTGATTTTGTGATGAATATCCTTAAGTTACTGCTTTTTCAAGTGGCTCATGAGCAAACAGTAATGAACAGGTGGGACAAACGTCTTTCCAGGGAGACAGCTTTGAAGGTCTCCCAAAAACAACTACCCTCACCCTTGTTGTAGATTACTAAAGTCTGAAGCACCCACTAAAACCCAAACTTTGTAATCAGATAGTATTTGGTTAGTATTTTCACTTACTACTATCAAATGTTTTTTCAGTTTCTAGCTTAGTGTTGTATTAATTAAGGGTCTCATATCTAGACAGCCTTGGCTGATGAGAAAAAGTTACACTCTGTATCACCTTTTCAAACATAAGAGATCATATACGTATATGTATGGCAATTTTGGTATACTGCCTTGTCTGTGAAGGAAGTAACCTTTTACTCTTTGTGATTCTCACTATTAACTGAAGTAACTACACCATATCATGCCACTATGTAGTGTCAGAAGAATGCTAAAACAGGGTTAAAGTCGCGGTGACAGCCCGGCTGTTGGTGAGTGTCCTGTTTCTCCTTTCCCTCGCATTCTGGTTTCTCCTGTGCCTTCTCTCTCTCTCTGTGTGTGTGCTCTCTCCCTCTCTGCTCCGGAGCCCGGCTGGCTACCCACACCTGCACCTCGTTAACCTCCATCCCCGGCCGCCGCACCTGCCAGCCATCAGCCTCATCACGACCAGTATTTCTACCCCGGCTTTCCACTCCATCCTCGCTCGATCGTCGCAGCTCCTGATTTGGTGTTGCCGCTTCATTCTGGCTCTTTTTTAAATTTCCCTTTGCTTCACGTCCCAGTTACCTACTAACCCTGTCTGTCTGTTTCCTCCTGCCAGGTTCACTCACCTCTGCCTCCCAGTTCGGCCAGCCGGGCTTGCTCGCCAGCCTCCTCCTCCTCTCGCCGCCTTGGCTTCCCCCCTTGCACCCCGCCTGGTCCCCAGTCACCGCGTCCTCTCCTCCCCGTCTGCCAGCCTCCCTCACACCTCCAGCCTAAGCACCTTCCGCTCCTCCAGCTTCTCGGTCCCCCGCGTCCTCGTCTGCCTCTCCCCCTCTTTCCTCCCGTCCCTCCTCGTCCCCCTTTTTCCTCAATAAACCTCTTTTTCAAACCCTCAGCGTTGCGTTTGGGTCCGTTCTGTCTCCTACCGTTACAGTTAAAAACAGTATGATCCACGCCTTTAAGCATTACAAAAAGGCATTGTCAATGTGACGCCTACAAATGTATAATCACAATTGTTAAGTTGTTTTGTGTAGCCTGTAAAAAAGGCACAATTTGAATTTATTGTTACCAGAGACTGATTAAAAGAAATGGACTGTCAATGTGACATCACCCATTGGTTTGTGAACTACCATTTGGAAACCAAGAGTTTGGCATTTGGGCTGTCGCAATCTTGATTTTTTGCTACCAGGCAAAACGGTGGAGCTAGCTTGGTTAGCAAGGTGCATCAGTAATTCACGTTAACTGCGATTTTAACCAGGATGCTAATTTTAGCTAGCAAAAAACAGGCTTAAAACAAAATGTACTTACTGGACAAAATGAACAGCTGACTCCTAATAAGCTTTTAAGCTGGTTAAATTTTTAAATATATATTTAAACATAGAAACATATTTTTCTTTATTCAAATGATTGTTTAACTGTAACCTTTCTGTCAACTGTGTTGACAACCCTATAAATGCACACTCACATCCACGTATGTCTGTAAGTTGTAAACAATACAAATAGTGCAAAGAAAAATATATATGTCTATATATAGTATACACCGTGCAGGATTTATATTGACAGTGACAGTACATGATGATATGTCAAACTGTCTATATATCCATAATGTAAGTAAGTGGATGTTTTGCTGTATGACCAATTTAAGTGTTTATCAGAGTGATGGCCAGTGGGACAAAACTGTTCTTGTGTCTGGTTGTTTTGGTGTACAGTGTTTTGTAGTGTTTACCAGTTTACCAGATCTTAACTTTCTAACCTCATGCCCTAAGTATAAAACATTAAACAGAGAAACACTTTGCAAACATTTCCCAAATATACCCCAAATTCGAATTTATTTCGGACACCCAGAAACCCTAATTATTGAGAGAAATGCCAGAATGTCAAATCATTGCAGTAAAATATATCTCCTCATGCCACGAACTGAGGACACCAGTGGAAACTCAGACTAGCCTGATAAATAAATTAAATAATTGTACTGTAAAATTTTCAAATTATTATTTTATCATTGTTTGTTATTTTAGTAATTGTTCCTTGGAAAAATGATTTTTTATTACTATTTAATTTTTAAATTCAATACACACACACACACACACACACACTTTTACTGTTTTATTTATTTTTATTTAATGAACTATATGAAATGAATTGTTCTTTTGTATTATATTTTAAGCTTATTGCAATATTGTTGTTTGACATTCATGCCAATAAATCTGAATTGGGTTGAAAAATAGAGAGAGAGAGAGAGAGAGAGAGATGTGAGAACAATTCCTGATCCTGACATATTTTCATCATTCTAGGTTGTTGCCAGTAGCATTAAAAAGAAGTGCTGCGAGGTGTGTGCACCCAAGATGGACAGAAAGACAAAGTATACATGCATCCAGTGCAAGAAATACATATGTTTTTTAGACTGACAAATTGTTGGCCAGAAAGAAAGAGGAACCTGTGTGCTGTTTTGACTGCATCCCTTTTTCTGAGGGAAAGATCAGCAATACGACTGGTGGGTGTTCATGTTTCAATACTTTTTTCGTATTATGGATATTAAATACTGTACAAGAAGAATGTAGCTCACAATCTTCCCCTTTTTATCAGACTCTGAGGAGTGCACCAATTGTCCAGTGGAGCTCCTAACATGACCACTGTGTTCCTGAAAGAAAACAGAGTTCCCCTTCGAGGGAACTCGAACTGCATCGGTGACGACACTATGGACGTGGCAGGGCTGAAATCATGAATGAAACTACTCCAATCCTATTGGCGTTGCTAGAACGGTAGCGTATGATGGCGTAACTGGAGGTATATATAAGCACGCCGGCACACCGGACACATTAGCTTTTTTCTGTTCAGCAGGCATTCTGGCATGTTTGAGAGTACTCAGAAGAAAGCTACTACAAGTCGAAATTACCTGGAAGGAGAAGCAGAAGAGATGGCTGGTGAGCAGTTCAGGCAGTGTGTCTTTCCATGCCCGCGCTACATCATGGCTGGGGACACTCATGCCCTGTGTGTTTTCTGTCTGGGGATGCCGCATGCCCAGGCAGCTCTCGAGGGGGCTGCTTGCGGCCATTGCGAGGCCCTGCCCCTGAGGGTGCTGATGTCTCGTGCGGCTCACTTTTCCGAAGACGGCTGGATGCGCTCTCCCCGTGGTATGATGCCCGGCGGCCGCTGAGGCGGCATGGCGGCTTTGGTCATGGGGCGCCCAGCGCTACATCTCCGAGGACATCGGGACTGCCGAAGCTTTTTCCCGGTCCTCATCTGCTGACTCCGCCTCCTCTCTTCCCCGTTCGGGAGTCCGCTTCTCCCGCCCGAGGTATGAGTTTGGAGAGGCTTGCACAGTCTGATTCTGAGGAGCTAGACGTGCGTAGCATCATGGAGGATGACTTCCGGGAGCCGGGCCGACATCATCAGACCTCGCCCAGCTATGAGAGGCGGGGCAGGAACCGCGGGCCGGCAGTAACCTCTATGAGCTTTTCTGCAGCCCACCACCGCGTTCTTTCCTGATTTGCACAATGAGTTATGTAAATTATGGAACAGACAAAAAAAAAAAAACTACAGCAGCATGACAGAAACTAAGCAGCACGGCTACGGAACGATGCCTTGGGGGGAGGAAGCGCTCGCGAGCTATCTTTCTCCCACCCTCGCTTCGTTCCTTCAGATGTCGGCGCTCCCCACCAAGCTGTGTCGGACGAAACATCCGCTTTGGTGGGCAAGGCCTACATGGCAGCGGGTCGAGCTGGTGCAAGCCTGCACACTATGGTCATCTTGCAGGCGTACCAGGCCGATCTTCTCAAGACTATGACCTAGGGGGAGGTCCCTCTGAGGAGGACCTGAGTG